AGTGACAGAAGCAGATGGCATCAGTTAGAATTAAAGAGAACACTTTTGCTATAACCTTACATGCCTTACATTTCACACACACACACACACAAGGGGGGAGATTCTGCTATAACCTTACACCTCTAGCACATATACTAAAATGATCACCATATATATGCAGAGGTATAAACAGTCATATATTTAAACTTGAATTGACATCAAAATCTACACATAAAGATTACTCAAATAGCAAAACCTGGAAGCATTTCTGCTAATATCCATTACATTAGCATCAGATTGATAGAAAAACAATCACAATAACATAAACTCTGTTGCCAGCCACCTTCCAATTTTCCTTACCTTTCTCTAGAGCAGAAACAGCAAATACTCAGAACCTAGATCTGTGGCCCACTGTGAAAGACTTTGGAAATAGTGCAAAGTAACCTTTTACTAAATCCATGTCCACTCCTACGACATTGTAAATCAATTCTAAACAGGTATCTCCTTCAGCGAGCATGAACACACTACAGAAAATTTCTCAACACAGGGAGAGAACACCAAATCCATAAAGTCTCAGAATAATTCCCTCCTTAAAAATATATTTGTCTGAGGATTCAGATGAAAACCTTAGAAAATATCTGATTTGTTCCCTCAAGGCAAATCAACAGTATATAGCTTCCATGAAATTAGTTCAAATCAACATAAGAAAGGGAGAATCATGGAAAGAGAAGAAATTCACAGACGCAACAGGCACAACACTGAGTTTTTTTAAGAGGCATAGAAAGAGCTAAATTCTGTAGAATATCCAAATGGTTAAGTAAAGGACAACGTTAAAATTTGTATAGAACACATGAAATTGCAAAGAGTTCAATATATCAAGAAAGAATATAATGTATATGTAAGAAAGATGTCAGAATTCAAAGCAGTAGATACTAAGTGTTCCCTATGAGAAGTTTCAATATAATATTAATGAATGTTCACTTACTCTTAGACCAAACTAATAAAAGGAATGTCCATCTAGTCGTATTAATGTAGAAATGTAAAATGCTCATAGATAAATAACAACTCATTAACCTGTAGAAAAAGAAAAATGGTGCCAATCTTAACTTCATCTATGGCAGTTTACAAAGGCATATTAACTGTAAAGATTTGAGGGGAGAAAAATGTGATATATCTTCAGAGGTAAGCCTCAAGCAAATTTTAGTTATTACAGACAGGTAAACAGAAAATTTTTAAATGGAAGTGCTCAAAAGTAAACCAACGAAGCATAATTCTTGAATACCATCCCTGTGTTAAATAAAAGACTAATAACAAAAAGGACTTTCAGTTAATAAAAGAAATAATTAGACCTTTTGAAAACAGCCCAGAGGCAAGAAATATAAATGTACTTTTTAAATTAATATTTTATTTTAAAGTAAGAGGCTATTCTAAATGGTAATTGCTTCAGATCCTCAAATTCCTTTATTAAAGAGTCTATTCAATAAGACTAAGTTTACAAAAAAAAGAGGAAAAAAAGAAAAAGTCAATGGAAATCTGCTTGTAAAAAACACATTTATATTCTTGAGGGATGGTGAGGATATGACAAAGGGGTTAGTTAGCTGGATTGTGATGATCATTTCACAATATATAGCATGCCAAAATATCCAGTTGTTTGTCAATTACACCACATTAAATCTGTAACTTTTTAAGAGATATTAACTAGGAAGCAAATAAAAAACAACCACAAAATAAAACCTATTTACACAGGCTAACAATAGATGAAAGCCTCCAATTCGGGACAAAATAAGCATTTTTCCCTGCTTCCTGGTAAAATTCCACTAAAATTACAATAAATGATTACATTTATCTTTTTAATGAAAAGATCTAAAGGAAATGGACTGTAAGTACACAAGATATTTCAACAAATTCATAGCAAATCAGCCGATTACAGAAGCCTTGTGAAAGACCATGCAAACACAGCGGTGGTCTGACAGGAGCCCACATTTCCTGCAGAATCTTCACCATGTGACCACGTGGGCAGGCCGCATGGGGCTGGAGAGAGATGGCTGGATGCAAGTCCATTCATAGTTGGTCTGTTTTGCCACTGTGCTAGTTGTCTCCCCACACTAATCTCTAACTTCTCTGCTGAACCCTTCTTGAATTCCCAAATACATTTTATCCTGTGTAAAACCCAGGGGATTCTTTCACAAAAAAGCGGAGGCACCTACAAAAAGAGAACTTGATAGTTTAGATGTATGGAAATTGTTGACAACAGATAAATATGACCAAATTACACTTAGGGATACAAGCATTTTCTATATTAATATTTTAAAAAAATGGAACATATCACTCAAATATAAATAATAATAAATGCTCTTCAAAGAAATTTTCAAGTCAACACAAAGTATAATTTAAAATTTCCGGCCAGGCATGGTTGCTCAGGCCTGTAATCCCAGCACTTAGGGACGTAAAGCGGGGAGGAGTGCTTGAGGCCAGTTCAAGATGAGCCTGGCCAACATAGCAGAACCCTGTGGCTACAAAAAAAAAAAAAAAAAAAAAAAAGCGGGGTATGGTGGTGTACAGCTGCAGTCCCAGCTACGCAGGAAGCTGAGGCAGGGGGATGACTTATGCTTAGGAGTTCGAGGTTACAGTGAATTTTGATGGTGTCATTGTACTCTAGCAAGAGAGTGAGATCCTGTATTTAAAAAAAAAATAAAATAACTAAAATAAAATAAAATTTCAAATCAAAGGAACAATAGTGTGAAAGGGTGGTTGATAAGCATTGAAACCTTTGAGTGATGTATTTAATGTTAAATAATTATTGTAATAAGGTTATTGAATTAGTCAGAGTAGGCTACTTGTGAGGTAGGGGTAGAGGCACCCAAATCTTAATGGCTTAATACAAGTTTCTTTCTGGCTAACAAATAGGTGAATGCCAGTGGTTTATTATACGAGAGATTTTCTATCTTGTGACTCCTTCGTTTAATACGCCTCAGAATCTTCTGTCGATCCATGTGCATCCTGCTGGACGAGGGGAAAAGAGCAAGATTGACAAATCACATGAAGCTTTTATTGGCCATGCCTGGAATGCATCTATCATACAGACCTGCATTCTATCAGCCAGTGATCTGAAAGACCAAAATAGATGCCCCTTTATCAACTACGACAGACCCTAATGTTAAAAAAACAAAAATTACCTATGGGTTGAGGGTTCAGGGCCCAGATGACATGGCAAATTTCTAAATTCCTATGGCCACAACAAGAGAAATACACTCTTGGTTGTAAAGTTACACACATTATATTAATATTCATTGATTCTTATAATTCTGATGATGACAAATCACGGTAGTCTGCCCTTCCCACGGGGAATACGTTCCAAGACCCAGAGTGGATGCCTGAAACCATGGATAGTACTGAACCCTATGCATACTGTTTTTTCCTATACATACATAAAGCTTAATTGATTAATTAGGCATAGTAAGAGATTAGCAATAACTAAAAATAAAATAGAACAATTATAACAATATACTGTAATAAAAGTTATGTGAATGTGGTCTTTCTCCCTCTCTCTCAAGTATCTTATTGTGGTATACTCATCCTTCTACTTTTCGTGATGATGCGAGTTGAAGAAATGCTTACGTGATGAGATGTAATGAGGTGAATGATGTAATAAATGTTGTTATGTAACGTTAGGCTACTGCTGACCTTCTGGTGATATGTCTGAAAGAGGATCAGCTTTTTTGGTGATCCTGAATCATCAAGCTATGACAATGTCCAGAGCTAGATGTCACAAGGAGACAATGTCAGCGATTCATGGGCAGGGAGTTTCTACAGTGTGGACACGCTGGACAAAGGGATGAATCACGCCCCAGGTGGGACAGAGCAGGGCGTCGTGGGATTTCATCAAGCTACTTAGAATGTCTGTTGGGCGATTTAAAAATTACGGATTATTTATTTCTGCAATTTTCCATTTAATATTTTTGGATTGCAGTTGGCTATGGGTAACTGAAACTTCAAAAAGTGAAACCTTGGATAAGGGGGCACTGCTGTAATGAAGAAA